AGGGATGTGTCTCCCGCACCGGGATGTCGTCTCCAAGCCCCTATGGATTCAAACAGGAGTCGCCCCAAAGTGCCGTCCCCTAGCCCACTGGCTCCCCTCTGGACAAAGGAATCTCTCCAGGACTCTGCAGTCAGCAGCCCCTTGCCAGGCACCCAAAAGGGTGCTTTCCCTCTCCCCAATTTCAATTTACACAGCAGCCCCTGCATCCTACCCGCGGTGGTGGCCGGAGAGAGGCATTCGCCATCCGTGCTCCCATTGCCACCTTCCTTCAAAGTGGAAGCGGCAGCCCCCGAGCTCCCCGTGGAAGCATCTCCCACCGCCCCAGCACTCAGCACTGGGTACTTCCCGCAGCAAGGCACTGCCAGCACCAGGGCCACACAACGCTCACAACCTCCTACTCACCGGGGAGGAAGAGGCTGGTCTCAGCAACCCGTTCAGCCCCAGCATCGCCATAGGGACTGCCAGTACCACAGACAGGCGTTCCGCTGGGGTCAGCTCTGCCTGACCTCAGAAAACCGGCGACTTCTAGCAAAGGCGCAGGATCAGGAGAGACCCTACGGGCATGCTCCACATTTCTTCTCACTAACCAAGGAAAAGAAAAAAAAAAAAAAATCCCGTATCTAACTCCACAATGCCCTCATACCATGAATTTCTGAATCAGTGGTTGCTGCAGGTCCCACTCAGGGGATTTTGAGTGTGTGGGAGAAGAGGGGAAGGAAGGGGATTGTTCAATCCGTGTGTGACTCATATTCTTCAGAAGCTGAACAGAGCCTTTTCAAGGAGATTTTTCAGCCACTCAAGTCTTCTAAAGGGACTGTCCTGTGACCTCAAGCCTGATGTTTTTCCCGGTTGGCCTGTCATATGCACAGAGATGCATCCCAGGCAACTGTGCAGCCTGGGATCTATGGGACCTGCAAGTGCAGGGGAGGGTGCAAGGAAGGTGAAGGGAGAGATCCAGCACTGCAAAATGAGGTGGGGACCTTCCTCCTGTCATTCTACAGCGGCTTCTGAAGGCCTAGGAACATAGACACAACCCTGTGCTGGTCTGTGGGAAGCAGCACAGACTGCCTGCTGTTGGGATACCACAGATCATCCCACCCGGACAGCTTCAGTCTGCCACCACCAGTCAGCCACCCTATCTGCTGGGCAGATCTTCCAGAGAGGTGAATAAAGGGACAAACAACCTTCCTCAGTGTGCTGGGAACTGCCACTTACACTACCCACTGAGCCTGGTGGGAGAGTCCGGGCCTGAAGCTGCTGGATGAGAACAGACTATGCCCCTCGAATAGCACAACTCCCCTTCTCCAGTGGCATCAGCTCCATCTCCTCTTGAGGGGTTTTCACAGCTCACTCACTGCTGCCCAGGACACTTCCACTAGTTGCAGCAAACAGCATGACTAAAGAATGTCATGGAGTTGTACCTGCATCTCCCCATCCCTCACAGGTCTGTCTCTCTCTGGATTGCCAGCTATTTCCCTGCACTCTTGTGCAATGTGTGCTGGAGGAAGCCCACCTTGCTTGCTGAGCAGAGATGGTGTCACCACCTGCTTCCTTCTTCCTGGAAAAGCAACCTCAGGCAACCTCAGACCTGCTCTCAAGGTGAAGTCCTGCCTCCTGTGCCAAGAAGCATGCCCTTCTGGCCTCCAGGACTTGGGGTTTCCCCTAGGAGTGCAGCATATGCAGCTTTTATCCCCCACACATGCCAGAAGGGAACACATCTCTTCTTCCTCCAACAGGAGCATCCCCTGCTCTGTCTTCCCAACACATTTGCCCTGGATCATGGGTTTGAACTGCAGACCCCATTCACTTGGCTAATTCCTCCCCATCTTCACACATTCCTAGGGTTCAGGAAGGATTCTCTAGGTGTTGCTGTGAATGGGGCAAGAGAGCAGAAATCCAGCTGCAAGGCACTTCCCAGAGCAGCATCAGCTCCCTGCCCTGGAGTGCAGCACTGCCACAGCACCCTTGCCAGATGGCACAGCCTTCCTGTGCCAGTCAGAGTGCTTCAATTAAGGGCCAGCCTTTGGCAAGCAGTGAGAGTTAAAGCCAGTCTTCCATGCCTGCAGCTCCTTGAACAGTGACCTAGTAATGCAGGTGCTATTTTCTTTCCTCTCATGACAGTCGGCTGACTTGCAGAGCTGATGCCCTGCAGGCAGGAGGGAAACATACGTCAGCCTTTCTGAGGCAGGAGTGTTTAGTAGCCATGGGAAAGGGTGCTCCAAAAATGCAGGAGACAGCATGAGTACAGCTCTGCTCTGAACTGCACTGGTGTAGAGCTGACATGTTCCAGCCACTCAGCTGGCCGCTCCTCTAACATACTCTGCCTTTCCCATTTTGATTTCCCTTGGGTCTGCTAACACCTGCAAACAATACCCCTAAATACTTGGCCTTGTTTTCTGCACAAATCCTGTGCTCTGCTCCATCGCTGGAGTCCCAACAGCTACTGGCAAGAGGCTGCTGAGTCTCTCTCATATTGTGTTCACAGTGACTTTGCTCTGAGACCCTTCCTGACCAAGCCCTTGACCAGCAAGTATGGCAGAGAGAAATCCCCTCTCCCTGAAAGCTTTCTAAGCCTTCTCCTCCTGACAGCCTGCCTTTGAGCACTGAAGCAGTTTGTCCATCTCTGCATTAAATGCCTTTACTCCCATTGTGGCTATCAAGTTGGTTTTGGCAAACCCCAGCCACCCACTGATCTTCTGGTTTTCTCTTCTGAGGGCCTGTAAATCATCTCTGCTGTTATGAACTATTAATCCAGCTCTATGCCCTTAGAGAACCCCTGCCAGCATCAACCCCGCTTTCGCTGTCTTTCACCCTCTCCAGTTTCCACTCTACCCACAGTACCACTGTCGTGTTGGTGCTCAAGGCTCCATTTGGGCTACAGCTTGCTGAGTCTGTGGGCACAGACCTGATTCCCCTCGGAGCAGGCAGCAGGCCAGCCCTGCTCCAGCGCAGGCAAGGCTCAGGACGCAAGAGGGAGAGCTGCAGGATGGGTCAGAACCCAGTGGCAACACAGCAAATAGGGAACTTCCCCACCGGCAGGGAAAAAGGTGCAACCGCCAGCGCTGGGACTTGCCGTCTCCTCTCCCCTCCGAAGAGAGCAACTGTGTCTCCTACCTGGATCTTCCCCACAACCCCCACCCCAGCCGGCCAGAGGCAACCAAGGACCGGTGTAGCAACTGGAGGCAGCGAGCCCAGGACCCTTCCGCTGGGACGGGCAGCCCAAGCACAGGGATTTTCAGCCTCTGGCCTGCTCAACTCCGTTTCCCTGGGAAGCGTTCTCCCGCTGGCCCGGGTACCCCGGCCGGCGAGTCCCCCCGGCACCCCCGGACCCGCACCCTGCCGCTTACCTCCATCCCCGCCGCGGCACCGGGAAAGTCCCGACCCGGCTCCGCCTCCCGGGGCTTCCCGGAGCCGGCTCCGCCCGGCGGAAACAGCAGGAGGGCGGGCTAGGGGACCCCCGAAGGGACGGGCAGCTCCGGACTGCGGCATTCCGGCGATACCGCCTATCCCACCTGGCTGGCACCCGGTCAGGGAACCGAGCCCCGGGCTCGGCTGTCCTCCGAGGGCGGGGACAGGACCCTTCGCCCCATTCCCAAGGCCAGCTGCTACTCCAGCGGGGAAGGACCATGGCTGATTTCCACTTTTATTATTGTAAATTCACTGTTGTCTTTATATATACTTTTAAAAAAATATATTAGATACAAAAGTCAGAAAGGCTCCTCTTCGAACTACATATACGGGTGGATTTACAGACTGGTTTGGAAAAGGTGGGCAAATAGGAAAGCCCAACTTGATCAAGGCGCACAGCAGCAGCAACAGTAAATGCCCCTCTCCAGGGACAAGGGGATTTTATATATATATATATATATATATGTATGTATGTATATATATATATATTTGTAGATCTATGCATGCACACACAGCACTCACACCCCTCAACACCTCAACACCTGCCCAGGACACCCCAGGCTGCACCCCAGCCCAAGGATGCTGTGACTGACGGATTAGCTCCTGCCAGGCAGGCATTGGCCAAGGCACCAGAGGATGGATTTGGGAGTCCCAGAAGAATGGGGCACACGCTTCCTCTGATCCTATAGAAGTGCTTCCTTTTTCCATGGCTGCACTCCCTGGGACAGCTTCAGCTGGCAGCGGCACAGAGCAGAAGTCCCCTGCTCAGTAGGCATGGTGCCTGCAGGACATCCCCCGCATGACAGTAAATTTGGACACTCACTTCCCAAACTAGCTGGAAGCAGGGAAATGCTGTGACCAGGGAGGTGAAACCTGCCTCAGCAATTCTCAAAGCTGAAAAAATGTGGGAAAAGCCATGACTGATGGCATAAAAGGCCCTGAGCAGTGAGAGCCCTGGCGCAGGGTGGGGGGGACTGGGTCAGCACAGTCCAGCTGGGGCTGCTGGCATCATCCTGCAGCAGAGTGAGACACCACTCCCACCTGGGAAGACACCACACACCTGGGAAGGCAGGCAGGGAGAGATCCCTGCTGCCATCCTCACTGGGGCTGCAGACAGACCAGCAGTGCAGCCACTTCCCAAGAAAGGGAAAAAGCACGCTGTGTTTCTGGCTCCTCTGACAGTCACAGTAGCCAGCTGGAAGGCTTGCTTACCCCTGTGGAGGAGGGAAGAACAGAGAACTCTCCCCCTTCCAGCACACCAGGCTTGTGTGGTGAAGGGAGGGCGAGCCCCCTGTTCTCCCACGTCCCTTACAGGAGGAAGCCTCAGTACGATTGCCTTCAGCAGCCCGACTCAGACCAGGCATCCCCAAAGGCTCAGGGGCAGATCCTGGCTCTGCCGATAGCACCAGGTTGGCATCCCCACACCCCAGCAGTGACCCCAAACCCTGTGGGCAGAGAGAGGACAGCTCTTGCAGGAGCAGCAGCGGCCAGAGGAGCACTGGACACAGCTCCTGCTGAGAGTGGAAGGCACCACAGGTCCACAAGCACACACACACACGCAAAAAAACACACACATACACACACATACACACAAAAACACACAGCAGCGGGGTTTTCAGAGATATTCAAGGTGGGGAGTCACTGGCAGAGCCCAGTTTGGGGTCTCCTCTACGGGCTGCAGCCTGTGGGGGTCAGGCCATAGCCAGGCCCTCCACATGGCTGTGGATGTGGGCCGTACTGGACAGGCTGCTCTCGCCTTTGTAACTTTTGGGGGCCCGGCTGGCTTTCAGCAGGACCAGGAAGGTGTCTGTGGAGATGGCCCCAAACTCAAAGGTGAACGTGCCATAGAAAACCAGAACATCAATGATGAACATCCACTCACACAAGGCAGCCACGTGCTGCAGCACGAAGCTCTCCTGGATGAAGAACACGCCACCTGAGGGTATCCCAGTCAAGGATAGTACAGCTGAACCCCAACCACCCCGTGGAAAACCATGTCCTACTGTTACTGCATGCTGGGGTGGACATGAGTATCCATCCTCTGCAATAAACACACCACCACTCCTAACACTGAGAAACACCCATGTGCTTCTCCCAGCACTAGAAGGGCCCTGGCACAGGTGAAGCGGTGGCACACATGCCCAAACCAGCCTTGGTAAATCATGGCACTGATGACAGGCTGGGATTATCTGAAGAGGCCAGGGGAGGAGGAGCTCAGGCTGCAGGTGTCAGTGCAACCCAGGTGCCCAGATGCTCAACTTCCCCACACTCCTTGCCTCTTCCTCAAGCCAGGCTGGCGGCCTCCATCCTCTCACAGGATGCAGTCAAAGATGATAAAACAACCTTTGAAACAGGTTTTGAACTGTTGCATCCCAGTCCTGCAGCACCTCCTGTCCTGTGCTGCAGGCTGGTCCACCCCAGAGAGGAGGCCTGCTCCCACTTCTCCAGATCCTACCACTACCAGAATTTCTTTATCCTTCTCTCATCCCCACCAAAAATCTCCAGGGAAACCTATTGCAAGAGTGGGTGAGGGAAGGAGGCACATTCCCTAGCCCTCCAGGTGAAACCTCCAGCAGTACCATGCCTTCTGCAAATGAGACCAAGATCTGGGAGAGCTGCAGAAGGAGGGACCTGACCTATACAGTGTAGAGCCCTCTGCTCCCTCCCCCTCATCCCATCAGGAAAGATCCCAGCCCTTTCCCTACACTGTCCACACCACAGCTCACTGCTTGCCCATTGCCAGTTCCACAGCTTACAGAGCAGAATGGCCACAGCAGATGGGCACCAGTCCTGTCTTCCTTGTCCTTACATGCCCTTCCTGTCCCTCCCAGCTGGCATGGTCCTGCAGCAGTCCTGCCTTTCTCAGCTCCCTGCCTGCTGCAGCGATAGAGCAGGACCCTCTGACATGTGACAGACCTGCCAGCACTCCCAGGCTCCTCCCATGCAGCTCGCCTCAGCCAGACCCCAGCCAGCCTCTTTGGGATCCATGGACACTGCATGCTTTTTCCCCTTCCTGCCCAATAACCACTACCTTGTTTCCCACTTTATCCCCAGCCTCAGTCCCAAACAAGATCCTCACACCCCAGCCACACACTTGGGACCATTCTTTGAGCTCCAGCCAATCTGATGCCATGCCCTCCCTCCGTGGGGAAGTGTTTGCAGACCCCAGAACCTGCTCACCAAACCCCTCCTTGTCCCATGGGCAGGCTAGCTGGTGAGTGCCCAGAAGTTCTGGCTGACAGAGGTGCTGCCATGCACCCAACCTGGCACCTGCACACAGCACTTTTGTACTCAGCTTCGGCCAGAGGGGTAACCCAGATGGACTTTGCATTGCCAAGGGCTCAAAATATCTTTGTCCCATTAAAAAAGCCCAACAGCAGAAAAAAAAAGCAGACCTAGGTGGTGTGTGGCTGGAGCCTGCAGTGGTGGCTGGGCGGCAGCAGCCAGGACACGGCTGCTTTGGGGCATGCCAGCACCCCAAAAGACACCCACCAGCACCCCTTCCCCTCCTCAGCCCCTGCCCAGCCCTGGTACTGCTGCTCCTCCAGCCTACACCTGCAGTGAGCTGCTCACCCCCAGTGCCCTGCCCAGCTCCTCTCCTGGCACCATGCCTCATTGTCAGACCAAAGGATAGAGAACGGGGGGCGTACACCCCACCGTGAGGACCACCTTTCACCAGCCTACTCCCAGTCTTCTTCCCACACCCTTCAGGATACTGAAGACGAGGGTGAAGAAGGCCACAGTGGTGAGGATGCTACGTAAGTGGCCGGTCCAGTACTGCCCTCGGGTTTTAGCCATGCGGTAGGTGAGGATGGACTGCAGGAGCAGGAACAGCATGCTGGTGGGAAAGGCCACCCCCGCCCCAATGTAGTGTAGCACCTTGGCGTGATCCACCTGTGGAGAAGAAACCGTCAGTGCCAACACCCTGGGACACTGCCTATCACAGCGTGACTGCTCCTAGAGTTGTACTCCTGCCCAGGAAGGGGTGCAGACAGTGCTGGGAGCAGATCCAGGCAGCTCACCCTGTGCCTGACTGGCCTGTGCCTGGCTGAAAAGCAGACTTGGATCCACCATCTACTGCTGGGATCTCAAAGAGCTCTGTTCCTTTTATCCATGGGCCAGCAGCCCTGCTGTGCCCAGAGGCAGGGGCTGCCCTCTGCCCTGAGCATCATCAGGACTGCCTGCACCCCTCCTGAGGGTCACAGCCCAGCACTGCTCACCACGGCTGGGCCACAAGGGGGATCAGGGCCTGCAAAGCTTCTCCCAGGGCTGGAGTGGGCAGCAGCCTCCTGCCAGGGAGGGACTGGCTGCCACAGGCAGCTGCCGGGAGGCCGGTGCCTGGCAGAGCAGGCAGGAGCTGAGCACCGCCGTGTGCTGCCAAGCCTGGGCCCGCTCCGCTCCCCGCGAGCACAGGCTCTGCCCCGACAGTTTCCTGGCATCACCCCCTGGGCAGGATTAGGAGCAGCTTGAACAGCATGTCCCTGCCCCTGCCCATGCCCATGGAGAGGACAGACAGTGCAGAGGGGGCTCAGGTAAGGGTTTAACCAAACCCAGCAGCTTAATGTGGACTTGAACTATGAATGCACAAGGACACCCAGCACCCTGGGAAGCACAGCACTGACTCAGGGGAAGGACTGCATGGATGGGACGCTGGACCAAACCAGACCCTACCCTGCTGAGCACAGCCACTGCCCCGCTCCAGCCAAGGCCCTCTCCAGCCCCCCTACCCAGGGACTCCTGAGATGCCTTACCTGGAAGTTGCCAACCATGGTGAGGCCAGCAGCACAGACCCAGCCAGTGGCCAGCCCCAGGGTGTTGAGGAGGGACGGCCCCAGGCGCTCCAGGAGGTGGGCATAGCGCAGCAGACCCACCAGGATGACTGCAGGAGGGAAACACAGCCCTGTCACACGCCACTGCCTGCGGCCCCCTCATCCCACTGCTGCCCCATGCCAGGGTGGCTGCAGGGCAGCCTCTCCCAGCCCTGCTTCCCCCGCAGCAGGCACTTACCCATGAAGGAGCCCAGGCTGCAGATGAGGCTGAAGAAGCAGCTCTCAGGAGGCAGGGTGCCACACTTGCTGTGGGGACAAGCAAGACCCACGGAGCACTCAGACAGAGGGCACTGAGATGTGTGCTTGGCTGTCTCTGCAGGACACCCTCCTGAGTTGCCCTGGAGGGGTCTCAGAGCAGCTCTACCTGTGTCCCCACCCTGAGGCTGCTCACCTGACCAGGGGGATGTGATCCAGTGTGCAGCAGGAGCTGGGGCCGTCCATGTCACACGACTGATTGTAACTCCTGCCAGCAGCAAAGGAACAGGTTAGAAGAGCCGAGACGTTGCCCAGGACCCTCCTGTCTCCTGCCCTGCAAGGGCAGGTGAGTTGCTGCTGAGTGCAGCCCAAACCCAGGGTGCCCACAACCTCCAGGGAGTGACCCACTGCTCAGCAGGTAGAATCCTGCCTGTGTTTCCACAGCCTGCTCCCTGCCTGCTGGCTCTGCTGCTCACCCCGAGCTCCAGCCCGCGAGAGACAGACCATGGCAGGGCAGAGGCTGTGCGGGCCAGGGTGTGGGCTCAGGGGGTTCTGGCAGCCCCACACAGGAGCAGGAGCACCCACCTGCCAGGCCCCTCACATATTCCTGGGATGGAAGCACCAGCAAAGCCGGGCACGCAGCCATTGACAGCTCCAGGTTAGCAGGGGATGGGCTGGAATGCTGAGCTGTGTATGCTCCCACCGCAGGGATTCATGTGCCCTCACCCTCACAGCTCTCCCAGGAGCTGGCACACACTGGAAGTGGGTTTTTGGGTGCCCCTTTGCTGCAGCATCACCCAGGCATCCAGCACTCCTGCCTGGCATGGCCTAGTGGGACCCCTGCTCACACCACAGGCAGTGAGTGCAAAGTCCTCTGCCCCAAAGGGCCTCTTCAGACACCCCAAGTCCCACGTGTGCAGGGGGGCTGAGGGGGGACAGTGCTGTGGGGGGAGCTGTGGGGGAACAGTGCTGCCCTGTCCCTCGCCCAGGCTGTTCATCCACCATCTCCAGCTATGCAGCAAGCACATGGTTAAAAAAGCCTTTTTGGAAAGGGCTGGGCTGGGCTCTGATGTTTTTTCAGTCTCCTCAGTTTACTGGTGGCTTTGTTTTCCAACCACTAAACCCAGGCGAGGCGTGGAGCCCCACGGCCTCCTCAAAGGCTGTTCTTGGGGCCATGTTTGGTTTGGGAGGCTTTTTTTTATTATTATTTTGTTTAAAGCAAGCAGCCCAAGGCCGGGAAGCATTATTCATCATTAAGGGCTGGCTGTGCAGCAGAGACAACCCAACACACACATTCTTCTCAGGGCAGAATCGGCCGTCAGGCAGGAAATGGCAGCAGGTTTTTTTTTCACTTCTTCAAACACTTGAAGAATTAAACTAACATGGATCTTTCTGGGCAGATTTTTAAGGCGATGCTACAAGCCAAAAACCCTGCAGAAGGTGCTGCCAAGAGACCAAACAGTGCCTCATCCCCCATCTGGGGGTGTTACAAGCAGTTCTTCCCATGGGGTGTCTGGGTGCTGCAGGACCATCCCATCCCCCTGACACTGCCAGATTTAGCCTCAAGCAAGCAAGTCACAACCTTTTCCATGGAGACACATAGCCCTCTGTAATTCCCTGACCACTTATTTTCATACTTTCTCCATGCTGTGTTTTTTCAAAGGCCTCCTTCTCCCCGCCTGGTTTGCAGCGAGGCTGGACTGTTCACCAGAGTAACCATTAACACAGACGAGCCTGAGCAGGGGAGGGAAGGCAGCCCAGCCCTGGCAGCAGCTCGACCCCAAGCTGTTCTGCTCCCAAAAGCCACTCAGCTGGGCAGGAGGCATGTGCCCTGTGGCATTTGCACCTCCACACCACCCCGTCTGCTCGGGAAGAAGGTAGCTCTGTGCCCCTTTAATGCTCCCACCATCCCCAACCCTCCTTAGCACAGTCATGGTGCAGGGAGTGCCTCAGCAGCCCAGTGGTCTGACACAGACTGGCATGCTTCAAGTGGGACAGGTATGGAGGGACTTGGCATTATGAGGTCTTTAATCAAGCCAGGATGTGCCAAAAAGCCCCTGCTTCCCCACAGGCCTTACCAGTTGTGGACAGGGCAGATGTGGTTGTTGGATAGTGCCATGGCATATCTAAAGGAGAGACAACAACAGGGTTACCACAGCCACCCACCTCCCTGCATCCCCATTCCCTGCCAGCACCCAGAGCAGCCCCAGGGACTAGCCCCCAGAGCAGAGGATAAAAGGCCCTTACTGCCTGCCACGGGCCAGCACTCATCCAGCACCTCCCAGCTTTACAAACAAGCAAAAACAAGTGCGTGTTCCACAGAACTCCCACTGCTGGGATGAGGCTCCCCTGCTTTTTACCCCCATTCCTACTGAGAGCCACCTCCTGCTCCAGTTCAGTGCAGCTGCTTCTGTGGGGCCTCTTCTCCATGGTGCTGCTGTGCTCCACGGGCTCTGGGGAACTGCTCTGTCACACAGCCTCCCTGGCAAGCCCCTGGCATCAGGGCTCTCCACCAGCCCACAGCTGTGCCGGGTGACACCCAATGGTGCTGGCCCTGCCGTGCTTTCCCCAGCCGCTGGCTGGCCAGCAATGGAGCTAAAGGAAGTCTGGAAAAGTAGCCAGTGTGCTGGGAGGGCATTATGGGGAGATCAGCTCCATCAAGCATTTCACTGCAGTCACCCTCAGAGACCCCAGTCACTGTAGCAAGGGGTTCATGACATGCATCCTGCTCCACTCCATGGGGTCTCAGCCCCATGGCCCCCACCCCAGCCATGGAGGAGCCCTCCTGCCGGGCAGCCACAGCAGTGGGCACCCTGTTGTTCAAATCACTGGCAGCTGTGAACAGCTCAGGTTAAAAATAGGCCCCAACACCATATGAAAACCCCTCACCTTCCCAAGCTGGCTGTGTAACAGCTGGGCTGCAAAAATGATGATCCCAGAACAGAGGCAAAGAGCAGGACAGATGGGGGAAACCAAGGAACAACACCCCCAGCCACCAAGGGAGCCCTTACCGAGCCATCTTCCAGCACAGGCCTCCAAAAGGGCCACTCCCAGGGTAGCTCAGACTGTGAGGATCATAAGCAGCAACTCCCACCTGTGCTGCTTAGGTCTCGAGGGGCATCTTCCCCCCAGGATCACTCACAGGAGACAGCCATGCTGGCAAGGTGTCCGAGGGAAAAACTTGCAGCACAAGTTCCTAGCACCAGGTTCAACATTTGGTTTGTCGTGAAGTTGGACAGGCGATACCTCAGGGGGAAGCTCTTAGAGGAACCTGCATGCATGTGGGATGCATTTGCTCCATCCCACACCTCAGGAAGTCCCATCACCTATATTGAACCTCTTGATATCTCTGAGAAAAGTCCTTCATCCACTGCTCACCAGTGTTAAGGCCTGAGAAATGGACTACTAGGATGGGCTACTACTGTTCACCCAAGTGACACAACCTCTACTCCTAGCACAAGGCCTGCCCATCCATCCATCCATCCATCCATCCATCCATCCATCCATCCATCCATCCATGCACCACACGGGATGGGTGCCCACATACGGACTGTAGCCTTGGCGCTGCAGTAGCTGGGCTGGTGGCGTGGTTCCCAACACCGTTCCTGTGCCACCTGAGCGCCCAGACCTACTCACGCCGGGACAGGGGCGCGGATTCCGCAGGGTGTCAGGGATTTAAGGACAGGGAGGCAGATGCCAGCGCTGCAGCAGGGGACGCGGGGACCACGCAGGGCGGCTGTGGGGGTTCAGGGAGGTGTGTGAGCCCTTGAGTGTCCAGAAGCGCCCAGAGTGCCCAGAGAGCAGCTCCCCGCAACCTCCAGCCCGCTGCACCCCACCTCGCAGCGTCCCACTCGAAAGCATCCTCCAGCCCCCGGCCCTCAGTTATCCCGCAGCCCCCGGCCCGGCCCTGGCCCCAGTTCCCGTCCGTGGGGGGCTGGCGGCGACCCCGCGGCACTCACACGATCCACATGCCGGTGATGGTGAAGGCAGGCAGCGTGACGGGCAGGATCCCCCAGGCCGGCATCCTGGGGCCGGGCATGCCCCGCCGGGCTATGGGCGAGCGGGGCCGCCGGGCCGCCGCCGGGCCGCGCTCCCCATGGGCGACGGGGCCGGGGGCGGGCGGAGCGGGTCCGGCCGTGCGGAGCGGCGCCGGGACGGCCCAGGCCGGCCCCGCCCCGGGAGCGCGGGTCCCGCTCGGCGGCAGGGCCGGGCCCGCCCCGTCCGGCGGCGGCGGGGAGCGGGACGGGCCCGCGCGGCCCCGGCGCCACGTGGCGGCCGCGCTGCCGCCCGGGGAGCAGCGGTGCTGGGGCGGGCGGCCGGGCAGCAGCACGGCCGGGGCCGGCGGCGCCGCAGCGCGCTCGGCCGAGCCGCAGCGAGGGACAGGCTCCCGCAGAGCGCAGGGGAGGGCAGGCACAGCTCCGCAGCGAACACTTCCCGGGAGCTGGGGACCCGAACAGCTTATGCCGAGGCTGCCTCGGGCATCGACAGCCGGCTGCAGGGCTGCGGGCCTCACCCCCTCAGCTCCAGGTGATGCTCTCTCTGAACACCAGCCCGGGGCGCACATCCACAAAAGCGTGGGTTTCTGTAAGCGTGGCCCAAAGGGCACTGTCAGAGGACGAGGCAGGAGGTACTGCGACAGGGAGGGGCCAGGCAGAGAAACCTGGTTCAGTTCGCTCTTCTTCCATGGGACTCAGCATTCCCTCCAGAGGACAAGGCTCTGCACGCCGGGAGTGACTGGCCTTGTGCTCTCACTACATGGCTGCGGCCACACTGCCAGACAATGCCTCCACACGCTCCCAGACCTGCTTCCCAGACGCTTTCTACAACTAGGGATTAAGTTTAGCAGCCAAGCACCAACCCTGCTACCAAGAGAAATTTCCACTTTTCTTACACTGAAAACGTGAGGAAAGGAAGCACAGCTTCCCTTGGCAGAGAAGCAGTGCTGTGGTATGGCCATGGCCGTTCCATTTCCCTATTGGGAACTCAGCAATAACTTGCCCTCTGGCCTCCGGCTGCTTGTGGGGATGTGTTTCAAGTCCCAACACATCCTCCGTCGCCAAGGTCGAGACGGAGCATCTGGTGCTCATAAAGCCTGCACTTTCCCTCTGCAGCCCGGGTGCAGCTCTGACCCTGGCCGGTGTGGGACACAAGCCCTGGCTGCCGCTGCCCACCACCGCCCCGGGCCGGGGTGCTGCTTACACAACCGCAGGGGCGGGGCTGCACACTGGGACTTGTAGTCTTGGGGGATCTCATCGTCCTCTGCGTTGAATCGCGCTCCAGGCAGCCTCCTCACGGGCCCAGGGTCCCTTCTCGCTGTCCAGCCCATCAGTTCAGAGCGAGAGCTGCACTCCACAACTTCGCTCCCGAGCCGGTTGTGCTCCCCAGAGGTGCCCCGAGCATTCCCGGCCGGCAGCCGGCCTGGCCCTCCCTCTCCCGGCAGCCCCCACAGCGCAGGGAGCGTGGAACGGTGCCCGCCGCCTCCAGCCGCCGTGCGGGGCTCGGGTCGCTCCGGGCCGCAGGCGAGAAGCACAAGCCCCGCCGGGCTGCCTTCTGTGCAGCTGGGCCAAAAATGCCAGGCACAGTGGCTTCAGAACACATCACCCTCTGTAACAGGCATAAATTTTTCCAGAGGAGTTCAACAGCTGGCATTTATAGGACTGAGGGTAAGTTCTTCAAAAGCCAGCTCACTGTTGATACATCCTGGAAATCTTTCGTACAGACCTTTGCTGCTCAGACCCAATTTTTAAATTGAAACTGAAAGCAGCAGTGCTTCTGTTTCACGAGTTTCAGTGCCAACTGTAAGTTTTACTGTCAGGTCTTATAATTCCATAAGACTTCTCACACTAGTAATCTTCATACCAATGAGGAAAGCACCAGCTCCACAGTGAAGTGTTCTACAGGCACATGCTAAATCCCACATATTTCTATTCTGTTTTAGCAGTAGAAATCCTTGATGCAAATGGGAACAGAAGAGGCAGGTAAACCCAAAACACAGTGATGTCTGTTCAGTCTCCTCTGGAAAATACTTAGGCCCTGAGTAAAAACGAGAAAGTCCAAGACTACAAAAAGTATATGCTAGGACAAATCTAAGGGTTACGGCTGTAAACACCACTTCTCACTAGCAGCCATTAGTAGAGTATCACTGGCTTTTATGCAATTAAACTCACAAATAGAGTTTAAACTCACAAATAGAGTTCAAGAGATGTACTGATTAACCTGTCAGATAGCACATGCTACCTGTCAGTAGATTCCGATCTCCTTTCAGTGCAACACTTTCCCTGATTATTTTTTTTCTCTCTAACACTAAACTTCACTCTTGCAAAATCCAAACAGCATTCAAAAAATTCTTTTTCTGGTTTTCCAGTCCATTCCTATTTACAGTCTAGTGAAAACTGTTTAAAGTGCAATTCTGTCTTTCCAGTCAACATTCCTTCCATGCCAGTCCCACTTCTTGCAGTTCTCTCAGGTGGCCTTTGCTTTGGACCATAATTGTCTGAATTAAGACATAATGCTCTCAGTAGAAGCTGGGTTTGTAAACACAGCATGTGTTAAAACACAGCATATGCCCAAAACAGTGATTGGAAGGCAGCTGGCAAAATGGAGCTTTGCTGTTAGCTGATACCACCCCAAAAAGTCAGATGATCACCTCAGCCTCTGGGATCAGAGGCAGCAGTCCTGACATCAAGGTATTGGACAATTGAGCAATGGTTTACAAGGAGTTAATAATCTAAAGCTTTCAACAAGCAGAAAAACAGAGCTGTAAATAGAAGCGAAAGCCCAGAAAGACAAGACAGAGAGGGGGACTGGATACAGAAGCACATCATGAGCAGCACAAGGACTCAAATACATTAATTAAAACATCTGACAGCTCGAAAGACAACCTACAGGCAGTGGAGGGTGAGGAAGAGACAGCTGCAGCAGGGAAAATATTCCAGGAATGGTACAAATGGGGTTAGGGAACCAGGATTTATTACCAGGACTTTCCTAGTATACACATTACTCTTCCATTATGCAATATTTAGACCTTTTCTCATGCAATTTAAACAAACTCCCAAGTTTTTATCCCCTTACCAAGTCTGTAGGAGTCTCTTGGAATAGAGAAGGCACTGGTGCCTCACACAGCTCTGAAGACCCTCTGGCACTGCGTGAATCTTGTCATGAAACAAACTAGAAAATACCAGGTGGGAAGTGTAGTTGTTCAAATCCGTGGCAAGCACTAGCCCTGTAAGAGCCCAGCATCTCTCACACCCTCTCCAGTTCTGAGTCCTGATCATGGAAACAAGGATTTCTTCATCAGAGAATCACTGATGTCAGCTGAGTTGTCACCAAGGTCTACGTTCTGGCACCATGACCAGATGAGTAGAGCACCTGCTCCTCAGCCCTCATTTCTGCCCTCAGTCCTGGTGGTGCATGAGCATACATCAATGTAACACCACAAATTTTACAGCCCACATCAAACTATTGCCATCTGAAAGAGCCAATCTCACTATTACAGCTGTGCTTTGTCCATGCTGGAAACCATTCCTGATTAGTCCCTTGATGGCTAACCTCCATTGCAGCCCTCCACCCCAAGCTGACAAGTCCCCCTGTGCTCCCTCCAGATGGAGCACTAGTATATGAAGCCAGGGCACAACACCTTGACAAGCAAACTCTCCTTCTCCCAAAGCTCTGGGCCAAAGTTCCATGACAGAAAACAAGTGCAACATCAGAACATTCATTTACAGGATGTATTTATTACACTGTAAAAAGTCCATTGTATTTTAGCCATTTACTCTGTATGTACACTGGTTGTATTCCCACACCACCTGTAGGCTCCTCTCCTTACAGGATACACTGGGTTGGAGTCTCACCCATGCCCCTCCCAGTCACCAGGGGGATTTCCAAGATTGAAACTATTGAGAATTTAGCCAACTAGTTAAGGGAGGAGGATCAGCGATGCAGCATTTGCCAGGCAGCCAGCTCTGCTCTGGACATGAGCAGGGGAAGAGCAGGATGTCCTTTCAGCAAGATGGAAGCACAAGAATCACTGCCAGGGCCTCAGCTGCAGGGGCCTTCTGGGGGTAGAAGAACATGGCATCCCCACAAGGAGATGCAGAAGGGTGCAATCTCTTCAGAGCTTTCAAGAGAAACCACTGCAGACTTGCTGAGCATCTGTCAGCAGGTGCCACAGATCCCCATATCTGTACATGAAGAGGATGTTCTCCTAAGGAAGGAGCTGGTCACCCAGAGACCAATGTGTAGTGAGTGGCAAACAATACATGATTGCCCCACAAGTGCTGCGTGAGACATGGCCATGGTGCTCTGCTCTAAGCATTTCCTTCTCATCTACTCAGCTAGGCAGAGCCTTCTGGATTTGCCTTCTCCAATCAGAAAGCCTGATTACATTTACAGGAGCAGGGATGAAAGCCCCTATCAGATTTGCCTGCTACTTAATCTCTATTTGGCCTGGGGATTGCTGTCATTCGCATTGCAGGAAGGAAAGCGTGTACCAGCAGGCAAGAAGTCCTACGTAGCAATCTGAGAGCTGCACTGTAAACAATCCACATTTCTAATAAAATTCTCTACCTGCTGAACCCAGGCATGCTCAGATCCCAAACAAAGCAGTACAACCAGAAGAGTCAGCAGGATAGCTAGGGAATGGCTGGGAATTGCCCAGGGACTGGACTCAGTAATCTTGAGAAGCAGTCCTGTACTGCAGCCCCTCTCTGGTGTGACATCAGTAAGTTTTCCCTCTTTACCGGATGAACTGGTGGCAGCTTGGTCCCAGGCTGCTGGGCACAGGCATTGCCTGGCACCTGAGATTGCAAAGGCAGGAAGGAGACTGGTCAGTGGAACTGGGCACTCCTCCATGAAGACAGGGATTTTTGGGCAAATTTCTAGGTGATGCCACAAGAAGGGAGCAGGATGGGACATGCTCCAGAGGACTGCGGCAACAGCCCTTCTGCTCAGGTTAGCATCATCTTTTAAAACAAACATGTCCACTACCAGAGAACATTTGGCCAGCATCCTCCACCCATATTGCCTCCTCAGCAGACAGTTCTCCAACATCCTCCAACTAATTAATTGACTTCAGAGCTTGTGATAGGGTCAGTGGGCCGTG